TTAATACAATACAAAGCAAAAAATCTTTATGCAATAACTACAAAATGAAAAACACAGTAACAGAACTGAAATATTGTAGTTTGTTTATAAAAAAACAAAAAATAAATAAATAATATTAACAGAGTATAGTCAGAGAGCCTGTAAATGGACTCACTATTTTGTGGCAGGGGTGATACTTTGTCCCCCTTCAGTCATTACTGCTCCATACAAAGCAGTTATTTTTAAAGTCAGCTTTTGCAAGTTTTATTATTTAGAATAATTTTTTTAATTGAACTTTTGTTAACTTTTGTTAAACTTTTATTTGTTGCACTGAAATGCCAATATATAGGGTTTGGGCACATATAGTTGATCGGAACTGGTTCTACCCTTTAAATTACCCTGAATTGTTCAACTCTTTCATTTTTGATTGTCAGTTTGGATGCCCAATGTCCTTAATGGTAATGAAATTACCTTATATTAGCGAAGAAGAATCCACATTATATTCTTAGACAGAAAGCTACATGTAAAAATTTAACTATGAAAAGAAAATTAATTATATTATTTTAGAGTTCATATGTTAAAAATGTATATAGAGGTTGAAAATAACTATGACATGATTTATAGTAACATTAATACAAGAAAAAAAAATAAATCAAAATGAGAACAGAATTGTTGAAATTTAAACGATATCCATCCATATGTAAATTGTACTTTAAATACTATACATAATTATAACCTCCAACACCAAGGCTATTTTCTATTTTTTTTAGCCTCTTTTAAACTGCCCAATACACATTTACGTTGGCAAGACACTTCACCTGCCTTGCCTGCTGTTGGTGGTCAGTAGGCCCACTGGCTTTGGTTGAATGGCAGTCTTGCTTCTGTCAGTCAATTCAGTTTTAAAGGATTTATGCGTTTGTTACAAGAACAAACCATATATTTACTGTTTTTTTGGTTTGTAAAAAAAACAACAACAACACAATAATGACATGAATTTAATTAATTGGTTTTTAGATTATTTTATAACTTTATAAAGTGGCTTCTCTTTTGTTGTTATTTTTGAAAGTAGGCAGACAAGAAACGGTATTAGAGAGAGAGGAAAACAAGCAGCAAAAGTCACCAGGCCGGGACTGAAACCTGTGCCAGCAGCGTTGAGGACCAAAGCCTCTGTACATAGGTTGTTAACTTAACCCTTCACTGCCAATACATCCTTGATTGGGGATTTTAAGAAATATATTTTTCTATAGCTGGGTTTCAATGAAACACAAAATTTAAGCAAACTTTATAAAGAAAAAAAAAATGGAAATTGTAATTTGCAATGTTTTAATATGGTTTAAGGCAAATTAACCGAGTAGCACAGCTTGGGCGTGATGTCGTCTTACATCGTCGTCCAGATCAGTAATGGAGGAAAAGTTTTAATGAATGTATTACAGTACTATTATGCAATTCCAAAAAAGTAAAAAAAAAAACTTTGTTTACAAGTTTGACAACTTTCCCTTCCCATCCAGGAAGCTTTTTCAATTCAATTCTATCGTGCAAATTTTCCTTATGTCAACATGTCAGCTAGCAATGGTGATATTGCTTCCAGCCATGTTTAAGCGCATAAAAGGAACTTATGGGAAGACACTGACAGCAGAAATAGCTGATCAGTCAATGTGACTGATTGCTACTTCAGAGCTGATTTGAAAAAAAGTTTTTTTTCCCCCCATCAATCTGTTGTGTATTCACCTTTTTTTTTTTTTTGCAAAAGCCAACTTAAGTAGGTGTTAAAACTTCTCTTCTAATTTAAGGGAGTTTTTATTTTTTATTTTACTGCTTCAACAAAACATTTCTGATGCAATACCTCAAAAATACAAATCAGAAAAAGCAGATGGAAACACACCTTATATTCTGAAGAAAGATATTCAAACTGGCTTAACACAATGAAAAAACAGGAGACGATCACAAATCATAAACGTGTCAAAAACTGCTATTAAAAACATCAAATAACAACCGGGCCACATTGCAGCTCTGTGCTGACTCCACCCCTTGTTTTGACATTTAATCAGCAGAAAAAAACATCTAACATCTGTGCATCAACCAATCAGATGGATTTCAGCTGTAACATATAAATTCTGACAAGTAAACTCAAACATCCAAGCTTTTAACGAGCAAAGCAGCTCCTCCATCCAAGATCAGTACTGTTCCAGCACCAATTGGCTCCTATCTGACTGACCATGATTGGCCGGTATAATAACTAGAATTGGGCACAGTATGCTTCTCAAATAAAGATGTAATGAGACGAGTGGAAATGTTACAGATTTTTATCAGTTATCAATAACACAATAAACCCTGCATCTATTTTCTTTCGTTAACAGTACCAAACACAGAGAAAATATAACATTTAACTTTTAACCTCCACACTGATTGTCACCAAAAATAAAGAATGACTGCAAGAAAAAGAACAAAAACAACATTTTAATAATACCTAAATCCTTTTTTTGTTTCTCAGGAAATATATGTCTTTTTTGAAGATAAGTGAATGCAAACTTAAATATAGGTGGAAATAAATCACCTACAGCATTTACAGGAATCTAAGCTTCAGAAGTTTCGATGGCAGAGAAAGACATAATAGCAGTATCACATCATTGTGATACTGAAAATGACACAAATAAAGTCAATAATATATAGTAAGCTGACCTTTACCCAACTGAAAGCTACTTCTAATTCAGGGAATTATACACCTGCAGAGGACAGATGCCTGTCAGAGGAGTCCGAAATGGTTTGGACAATCCAGACCTCACATCAGTCAGCTCACAACTCAAATATGTGGCCCTGAAACCAAAAGCAACATAAGCTAAACTGCAGACACTTCAATTATGCTACCTAAAAAATCCACTTTCAGTTCTGAACTCAGAGACAGCGATGAGCAAACATTTCCACAACTTCTTTTTAACATACATTTTTCTCAGACAAAGTCACCGAAGAAGGTCAGAGTCGGGGAGAATTTTTTTCAAGGGCCAAAAGTGTTGGTGAGACAGGTTACAATCAAAACAGAACCAGTAGATGCATGATCTACTCTGAACAACGATGTGGCATCAAAACCCTCCAGCCTCCACTGAGAGGAAAACAGACAGATTCTTTCATCTTCTCTGTTTCAACCAGAACCACAGAGCGGCGCAGCCATTCAGCACATACGTTTCTAAAGATCCAGCAAATCTTATCAAACATTCAGCTACAGCATGAGTCGAACCTTTAGATGCTTTTTGGATTAAATCAGCAGCAAGCAGGTGGTCCAACTTACTTGAAAATGTCTCTTGCTTCAAAGTTCTATGCATGTCTGCACAATAAGATCCAACACCTAGAAGACACAAAGAGGAAGACGCTCAGGATGAAATCAGGTTTAAATCACATTAATCACTGTTCTTTGACCATCATTTTGCAGGAGCTGTTTTTGGATTTAAAAAAAGGGACAAGAAACAGCTGGGGTTCGCTATGCAACATTTCAACATTTTCAACCCTTTCAGTGAGACGCTAAATCACAGTTTAACTTACAATCATAGAAGAAATACATGTGTGAATAATTTGAGAGATTAATCTTTTATTCAAACAAACTCTTACTAGAAAATGTGAAAAACAATCCCAACCTTGTAAGTCTTTATTATTTTTTTTCATATGTATAAATAAAGAAAATATTTTGTTGACTCCTTATTTATCAAACTTTGATAAAAGATGAATATGTTTCTCCAGATTGCAAAGCAACTTTCTGTGACTTTCAGATGCTGCAGCTGGAAGAAAAGGGGATTTTCTAGTAAGGCATTCTCATCACTTAATCCAATAGGGGAAAACTTTGAATAACTGCACATCAATAATAAATATCACATAGCGGAATCTCTTCGTGAGTTTTCTCCTGCAAATATAGAAAAGATCACATCTGTTTGTTTTATGCAGGATTTTCCCCCCAGATTGGTGTAAGGCCTTAATATGTATCCAAATAACTTAAATTGGGTGCTATTAGCTGTAATGTGAAGCTTTCTAAAAGACCACAACGGGTTAGGAGAGCCATCTCTGCTCCTGTCTCGCTTGGATCTATTCAACACAGCTGGATTCACAAGGAAACACAAGGAGTGAAGGCAGGGAAACCTTTCCACAGGAGCCAATGAAATGTGAAGTTGTCAAAACACACTTTTTCTCTCTGCTTTTCCTTTTCTTTGTTTAAACCAACTGAATACTCTGGAACCACAAAGAGGGTGAAAGCAAAGGTTTGACTTAGATCCCTTATTCTTTAGAAGTCAGGAAACAGGATGAGATGAATGATGAGGAACATATCCAGGACTTAAGATCCGGCATTGCCTGACGTGGCTTTTTAAATATCCTTCATTATCCAACCTGTCTTTGAAACCTGAGCTCATCACCTGCACACGTCTTCTCAAACAAAACTTCAGGGGAAAGTCGTCTCTGTTGAATCTGATAGGATATTTGCTTTGCTTTGTAACTGTATCCAAACAAGTGTTATATTTACTATAGTTGATTCATAGCAGCTCTAAAACAGAGGCTGTTACTGCTCCCAGGCAGTGCATGGGCAGATTTAGCCTCCTCTGTCATGAAATGATGGACTCTCTTGAGATAGGGCCACATTGTGTGGCTCAGAAGAAGGGAAATCTCCCTTTTTTAACAATGAAACCCTCTTTAGTTTTTCCAACAACTTTCACAGGGCTCAGATCAAAACAGAACAGCTGTGGATCTACCTGTATGTACCTCTGGTTCACAATGATAACAGTTCATCCAGGTGGGTGTCAACAAAGACAACGGTGCAGGTAGAATCCCAGACCTATTCTACCTTGCTAATCTCCTCATTCTGACATTTACTGTGATTTGTGAGTCAGTACAAAGGCTGAGCAAACAGCCTTTCCCATCGCCCCTGGAGGAAGGGCTGAGAGAAACATTCAGAAATGCTTTGGTCTCTCCAGACATTTGTTCAACATGGTTCACCTATCTTTTCAACCCGAGGCTGATTAGGGAAAAAAGCTGTTGACTGGCAGGTTGCTATTTCTTCTCCTGTCCTCTTTGTGGAACAGTATATTTGTCAAGAAAGGGCCCCGTTTCTTTGTGCTTGCACAGATGTTCCTACATAGAGGTCAGAACTTATAAATGCATAAAAACACAAAGGTAGACAGAGTCAACAGAGTAGCATAAGATCAATAAAGATTTATATTAAGGTTGATTAAAGAGGACAGAGTGAATCATTGCAAAGAAGCAGATGACTCAACAAGAAAAAGAGATTCCATTTCCTGGTTTTTTGGTTGATTACAAACACACAAAAATAGATTGTGTCAAAGAATGAAGTTTTCCACTGCTTGTATAAAGCACCATAATTTTTTCCTAGTACTAAGAATACATGGCATATCAAATTCGGAGATCATTCAAATCAATGGAAGAAAAACTAAAAAAGGCACAAAATAATTACATAACAGATATGTATCAAGACTTCAACCTTTTTAACTTTGATGATTACAACTTACAGTGAAAGAACCAAAAATGTACTTTCTATGCAATCAGTTAAGAATCAGCTTTATATCAGCACCTAACTGAGAATCTTACTGGTCTAACAAGCTACTGTATGGTCTCAAAAGTAATCACTGGGATGCTGTCTCCACAGACGCTAAAGAATCTTCATTGAAACAGCCTCAGACTGCAGGACGTCTGCACTCTCCTTAGAGTCAGAATGACACAAAGCCAATCATGAGCATTGCTTCTTTGCTCAGCAACTGTACTGCACATACTTGTAAGAGCTTCAGAATTCGCTGTCCTTTATGCAGAGTCACTACACCTACTAAGCTTCCATTGACACTTGCTGTCCCTGTAGATGACTGTTCTGGGTGCTGGCCTAGGTTTAAAGATATGCTAAAGTTGTCTTTGCTTATTGGAGCCACCCTTAGAAATAGGATGAGGGGCTGCATCATCTAAGGGGAGCTCAGAATACAGCTGCTGCTCTCCATCGTAAGAAATTATGTCCTAGGCATCTCATCAGGCAGCTTCTAGGTGCCTTCCTTTGAGGTTTTCCAGGCAGGTCCTACAGAAAGTAGAACCCAGGGTAGATCCAGAACCATCCATAATGCTGGGGGAACACACATGCACACAGGTCAACATATAGGGTGCCTTTGGCTGCGCCTAATAAGTGTACAACAGCGCATGTGACAACCTCAGGAATCGTAAATCTTAAAATAAATAGAGTGTAGGAAACATAGTAAATAAAAAAGACTCACATTAGGTGAACATGTGCTTTCAAAACAACTTTCTTCTCAGTTTAAGAGGAAATCATTTTCTGTTTTACCACTTTTCCCCTTACTTACAAAATATTACATGACTACAGAGATTTATTGCTCAAATTAGAGCAGATTTATACTTGATGAACCAAGCCTGATGGTTGACACATCCTCAGAGCATAAATGATGGGATTCAGAACATCATTAATGTCTAGAACCATGTCTGATACTCTTCAGTTCTCTCACTGTGGCTCATGATAACCAGAGGCTAAGTTTGAAGGGCAACATTCCTGCCCTCTATGCATTCAAAAGCCAACACAGCATGTAGCTTTGTCCTGCAACTTTGCCAAGGATTCCTTTTAGGAGTCGTCAGCGGGTCAATGGCACAACGCATTGTGTCACTGAACAGAGATGTCCACTGGGCAGTTTAGTGGAGTTCAGGTGAAGGAGAAGGATGTAAAATTGGTACTGTGCAGCAATGAAATCGGCCATAAATGCTTAAACCTAAATCTCTTCATACTGCTTGTTTTAAAACAGTAGACAGACTCAGTGTGGCTCCTATTGTTAAATGAACCAATGCTTTAGATTGAAGAATTGTATTGTTTTAGCCATAAATCCTAATGCTTTCTGATTCAACAAACGATATGTCATCAGGACCTCTACCTGCAAAGGCAGCTGTAGAGTTCAGCTGATGCAACTGATTTCAACCCCCATTAGCGCAATCAGTCTGTTCACAAAACACAAGGTTCATTGCAGATGTTTAAAGGTAATTATTTTTGCTATATTTCATACATGCCATTATAGTTGTCCAACTTGTAATATGTGTTTTCCTCTACCTACCACATTTGTCATCTTTGTTAGATAATGTCTTCCACCCCACGCATGAAGCTGTTGCTGAACTGGAAAGGTCCTTCAGTTACAGACTGCTGCTCCCTAAATGCACAAGGTAGCGTTATCACTGATCCTTCCTCCCTGTTAGACTATAACCATAACTGTTCCAAATAACCTCAATAGTTGACATTAAAAATGCAGATTTCTGCACAGTTTCTGTCTTAGTCTCTCCGGTGTTGCTCCTCTTTTCACATATCCATTACTGTAAAAATGTCCACAGCTGTATATGGATTATTTATTCTCCAGATGCACAGTATTTATATTGTAAAAACACTGTACAGTATTTTATTTGTTTATTCTCTTAACACTTATTTAGTTTATTTATACACTTTTTTAAGCTCCACATTTGTCTGACAACTTTTGCTATAAACTTTTGCTGCTGCTGTAACGCCACAATATTGTGAGACAAGAAAAGGATGTTTTAAACTTCTATTCTACAGGCCTCATTACGCGGTTCATGGGAAAGAGATTCTGGTGCGCATGATGGTGTGACCCACTGCATGCTCTCTTTTACCTGGTTACTTTGTTTAGTCTCTGTTATAATTAGAAAACAGGGGTGATGGTTTGGTATTAGATCCCCCAAAACCCCCCAAAAATGGTAACAAGTTCTCCTCAAACCCCATCACAGATTCCACAATAGAGTCAGAAAATAAAACTAGTGTGACAAAAAGGGTCAGACTGAAGTCTGAATAAGATGAAGGTAAATGTTGGATTAGCTTTTAAAAAAGAGGGAGCTCAGACCTGCCCTGGTGATATCCCTCTTTTTACCAAAATGGCATTATGCCACATTCTAAATAACTTCCATATTTATGGACAGTATAAATCTAAACAAGACCTGTGGAGCCACAGGTGGTGCATTTCCTTTTGTGTTGTTACAACTTGTTGCCAGAGGGGGCAAACATCTGCTAAAAATCTGGAACTTCTTCCACTTCTTCTTCTTTAGTCCCAACAATCTTTGACTGTTTTGAGAAAGGGAAATTCTGAAAAGAGCATGCATCCCGTTATTCTAAAAGTGTCTTTGGTGAACGTGCAAAAAGCATAAATATGAGCTGAAGCTTTACTCTCCATTAGGAGGGCTAAACCTATGCAAACATGATTTATTCAAGATGCTTATAGTTGGCTCTTTGTTTCCAAACTCAGGGAAACAAATGAGAATTTATGAAGTTGGTCATAAATCAACACCACAGGATATGAACTACAGAAC